GCAAATCTATCATTACTTCTCTGAAATTCTTAGTATTTTATTTTTTGCTTCAGATGGCAGGAAACGGGTCATATTATACTTTTCTGATTATTTCCCCATCTTGGAGAAATCCCCTTCATCTTCCCGTTGTTCATGGTTGTTTCCTATATTTATTCTTTAGCTTTCCTTTACTTCCTCTCAAAGAGCACATCCAATTTGATATCTCTCTCCTAAAATTTCTTTTTCAGCTTTAAATGCTACCTGTACCTAAAACCTTACGTTGCTAACTACTTATTGACTTTCTTTGCTATCTCACCTTGAAATCAAATCTTATTTTCCTTATTTTACAAATCAAAGAGAAAAGACAAAAGCATATTTTTAAATGGGCAAAATCATGGCTAGATAATTTACACACACAATACACATACACAGTTGAAAGTTTTTAAAATGTTTTCTATCACTAATAAAATGCAAATTGAAGAATGTTGTGTTGATATACTATTTCTGATTTACTAGAGCTTGCCTGAGGATTCAGAATGCAAAACTAGCCACAAGCCATAGAGATCAGACAATGGTGATGCATACCTTTACTCCCAGGACTCAGGAGACAGAGGTAGATGGATCTCTCTGTGAGTGCAAGGCTGTCTGTATCTACACAAGTCTGAATCAGTCTAAAAGAGGATTAGAGCTCATGCCTTTAATCCCAGCCCTAGAGTGGTATATAAAAGATAGGAGTCCAGTGTCTCAGGCTACATTCTGAGATTTAGTCTCCAGCCACGTAGAGAAGAGGCAGAAGTCTAATGCTTGGTGGAGAGCTCCTAGAGACAGGATCAACCCTTTCAGTCTTCGGTAGAGGTAAGAGCTAGTGGCCAGCTGCTTTGTTTCTCTGATATTCAGCTTGAAGCTTGAATCCCATTATCAGTCTCTGAGATTTTTTATTATTTGTGTTACAGAATGTGATACCATTTTCCAATGAATTAGTTTACAGTAGATAAAAGCCCATGAAACTTCCTGGGTACACAAACATATACATAGTAGTGATAGAAGCACACACTAGTACTGTCCTCTGTTAAGTGATGAAAGCACACACTAGTACTGTCCTCTGTTAAGTGATGAATCGGGGTTTAAAATGTGTGAACCTTTTGAGCTAGGAAGATGGCTCAGTGGGTAAAGGTGCTTGTTACCAAGCCTGAAAACCTGAGTTTGTCCCTCAAGACCCACATAGAAGGTTATAACTGACTCTTACAGATTGTTTTCTGACCTCCACATATGCACTGTGGCATATGTGCTGCCACAAACAAATAAATAAATAGATGTAAAAAATATATGGACTTTTTGGTCCAGTAGGCTTTAATTTTAGGAAACAGAGACATTTGCAACCCTGCAAAAAAAAACCCTGTTGTTGTTTGTTTGTTTTATGGAGAAAACTTAGAGATATCCAGCAGTAGCAGTTAGATTAGGAATACATGGCAGATTCCTGCACGGGGTATGCTATATGCTATATGGCCAATAAAAATAGTGATTTGGGGCCTGGAGAGATGGCTCAGTGGTTAAGAGCTCACACCACACTTGCAGAAGATCTGCATTTGATCCCCAATGCCCATCTTAGGTGGCTCACACTTGCCTTTAACTCCAGATTCAAGGGATTTGACCCCTTGTCTCTGCAGGCACCAAGACTCATGCACACATACCCATAAACAGACACACACAAGTGCACATCTTTGAAAAGAAAATGGATCTTTAAGAAGACACTGTTCTAATGAAATGAATGATTTAGAAGGATAGCCAAGTACTCAAGAAAACATCTGCACTAAGTGTCAGATGTGCATTAAGTCAGATGTGCAAAGGAACAGATAACAGTAAACCTGTTTTGTGAAATAAAGATTTACTGACTGGCAAGAAATGCATACACATGTTGCTTATCTTGGGAGAATGAGAATATGATAGATGGTTTTTATTTTCTTCCTGATGACTTCCATGTTGTTTAATACTTTCTGCTGAGTATGACGGCATAGGCCTAATCTGAGCATTTGGGAAGTAGAAGCAGAAAGATCAAAAGTGTAAGTGATTTCTTTGCAATATGTTGAATTTGAGACCCTGCCCCCAAATGGAAATTTACCAAGCACCTACCATGTGCCTACAGTATAAAGAACCCCAAACAGGAAAAGGAGGAGTATAGACCTTACAAGCAATGGGCTTGGGAAATTTGGGATATTTTGAGCAGGGATTGCCATGATCCATGTAATATTAAAAATATTTTTTAGATTTATTATATGTGACAAGGGTTTGCTGCATGCATGTGTACTTTCCATGTGTGTGCCTGGTGCCCTCAGAGGTCAGAAGAAGGCACCAGATTCTCCGGAACTGGAGTTAGGAACCACACTGAGTGTAGGGATCCAAGCCTCTGCAAGAACGGCCAGTGCTCTTAACTGCTGAGCCATCTCTCCAGCCCCGCATGCAGGAGTTGTTGGTTGTAAAAGGTCATTCTATCTACAGACACTTGACTGATTGAGAGAACAAGAAAGTAGGGGCAGGATACGTCTCCAAGGGAATTGAATTGGCCAGCTGACATCCGCATTCCTTGAGAAAAATGCTGGTTGAAGTCAACTGACCTGACTTGAGACTCAAAAGCGGGGAACTGGGGTTGGGAGTATAGCTTACTTGTAAAGCTTAGTAGTTGGGTGTGGGGATTAGAGTTGTATGCCACTTTGCCCCATTTATATGGTGCTGGGAATTGAACCTAGGACTTTGTGTGTGCTAGGCAAGCATTCTACCAACAGAACTACCCCCTGGGCCCCATATTTGGTAATTCTTTCACAGTAAAGTGAATTTGAAAGGTAAGGGTCTCCCCCTCACTGCCTACTGTCTTTAGTTGGAGAATTCCTTGGACTTTGGAGCACTTGAAGTTTCATAGTGCTGAGTTTGGAGACAGGAAGAGATGATAAAATATGGCTCAGGAAACCTCAACTCTGAGTCTGTCCCAGTTTTGAGGCCTGTGACGTAGGAGCCTCCCTGGAGAGAGCATATTGGCTCTTAAGTCTCTTTGCTTTGCTGAGGCCTGAGAACCAACGGTGGTAAACGTCCAGCTTGTTGTTTGATTTAAGCAAAAAAGTAAAGTGGGAAAGAGGCAAAGGGAAGTAGAAAGGGGTGAAAGTGAGTGTAGAGAAATGTGGTGCATCCCTCATGGAACCCGTCTTTAGGTGAGCAAGGATACATCAACCTGAGTCAGTGATGGCAGTCTGTCAAGTGCACTCTGATGCAAGTTTGTGTGGACAACAGTGAGAGGGAATGAACATGCCAGATGGTAGTCACCAGCAGAAGCTCTTAGAGGATCCGCTGACACTGATGGAACCGGGGAGATTCCCCCCTCCCCCAACTAGGTGAGGGGGCTGTCTGACCACATCAATGGCTGAGGAGCTCCTCCACCATCGCATCCAATCCATTTTGGTGTGACACCTAGTCTGGCAGCAGGTCCAGTCAGCGTAAGAGCTGCCTGCTGGCACAGTCTGGGATGCTGGTACAAGCCTCCTGGCACAAACCATGACCTTTTGGGTTGCTCTTGGCATCTTGCTGGTTACGGAAAGTTTGGTGAAGCCTCGCCCCACAGAACCTCAGCCTATTTCCATAGCCCATCGTTCTTGTGAGGCTCATCTGCCTCCAGCTTCCATTCCCCACCCTTCTCCTGACACCCCGCCCTTGGCTGTGACCATTAGCAGTTGGCATATTTCTTCAGTACATGCAAGCCCTTTTTGTCCCTCCCCTTGTTTTCTTGGAAGTCTGCCTGAGTTTGAGACTCTCCTTGTTTGTAAAACCATTAACTATAAGAAACCTTGGCTGTATGCTTTCCAGGGCTGGGAGTGGCTTGGCTGACCCCTGTGGAGTCAAGGGAACCAGGGGAAGCCTGGAGACAGCTCCCCTCAAGCTAGACAGAGCCCCAAATATTTTACTGCATGGTGGGCCAGTTTGGGGTCCAAGGATAACCTTCCAGTGCTGCGGTAGGGGCAACTACTGTTTGGATGCTTTCCACATGTCAGACAGTATGCTATATGCATAAAGAGTATTGTCATATGAAATCTGCACATTAAGCCCTAACGGCTGGCTTTCTAATGGGGAGACTGAGAGCTTAAGTAACTTGTTAGAGGTTGAACTGCAGAGGTGGGGCCTCTGACTCAGACCTGCCTGATTCAAAATTCTGCACTTTAAAATCATTTTTACATTTATTCAGTACGTGTGTGCCTCTCTCTCTCCGTGTGTGTGTGTGTGTGTGTGTGTGTGTGTGTGTGTGTGTGTGTGTGTGTGTGTGTGTGTACTGGTGCCCCACAAGTTGGGAAGTCAGAGGACAACTTATGGGAATTGAGTCTCTCTTCCACCATGTAAGTCCTAGGTATCGAACTGAGGTCATTAGACTTGGCAGCAAGCACATTTACCCACTGAGCCATCTTACCTGTCCAAGTCTGTGCTCTTAACATCTCTGCTGTGCTACCTTTGTAGGTTTCCAAAGTGTCCTAGAGAGGAGAATCACTGGTTTCTAAGGGCTTTAGAATATTTATTGAATGTGTATACACATATTAAGTTCATTATAGGTATTAGTAAACAGATTTTATCTTCTTGTCACCTCTAAAATGCATTATATTGTCTCATATAATAGGTGTGGAAGGGAACCGAGTCTCAGAGAAGTTCCCTAGCCTCTAAATGATTGAGTTGAGATTTCATCCAAGTTTGGAACATCCAGTGCCAGTCTGGATAAGCTGCCCACATACTTTGTTCTGTCTAGAACTACAATGGTATTTATTACTGAACCTATTGGATACCTGTACCCAAGCACTCATGATTTCCAAGCTGACGGGTCATTTTGCTTTGAAGTGTGTGTGTTGCGGGGTGGCTGAGGGAAGAGGTGACACATTGGGTCCTTGTGGTTGTTACTTCTTGGCACCGGATAGAGTGCATGTGGTGGAGTATGGAGATCCAAATGGCTTTTAAGCACATTGTCATTTTCTCTCCTCCCTCCCTTTCCAATTTAGGGCGAAGGTTGCCGAACTGTGCCCCTGGCTGGACATGTGGGGTTTGACAGCTTGCCTGACCAGCTGGTGAATAAGTCAGTCAGCCAGGGCTTCTGCTTCAACATCCTGTGCGTGGGTGAGTATTTCCATGGCAGGAAATTCTATTACAGGATATAGATCCTTAATGGGTAGATGTGGCTTTGCAGGTAATTAGGTTAAATAATGTGTCATTCTCATCTAGTTGCAGGCTTGTCCCCTCCTTCTTCTCTTATCCCTTTGTTTATTTTTGTAAGAGTCCAGCTGCAATTACTTTTTTTTCTCTGCCCAGACCAGAATCTGGGGCCATACCTTGGGGGGAAAAAACAGAGCTTTGTGAGACTCAGTGGAAAATTTTGTTAAAGGGGTCTGGCTGGCTCGGTTACTGCTGTCAGGTTCCTTTTGACTACAGAGGATGAGAACCAGGACAGAATTGGGAGGAAATGAAAATGCCTGCTTTCTAGTTGTGGGTAGCTGGCTGGATCTCTGTGGTCTGTCTGGGCTTGGTACAGTTGGAGCTTAAGTGTAGGAATCACACAGCTGGGTACAAAGATCTTTTATTCCCCTACCTGTATCTCTGCCTGGGCTTTATTTTGTTATGTTTTAAGACAGAGTCTCATTATGTGACCTAGGCTGGCATGGAACTCAGCAGGCCTCCCGGGCTAGCCTCTAATTCTCGGTCCTCCTACCTTAGACTCCCAAATGTTGGTCACAAACCACCACACCTACATGGGGAGGCATTGTTTTAGTCCACTTGGTGTGCTAATCGTAGCACAAGGAGAGTTTAATAGTATTTCTGCAGTGAGTGAATAAGTTGAGTCTACAGGAAGCACTTGCTATACTTCTCAACAGGGTCTCATATCAGTTGTTCTGCCCAGTCTGCAAAGGGAGACTTGGGAGTAGTATCCATAGCCACATGGAGAGGATAATTGAGGAGGACAAAGGATTTACCTGAGACAACATGGAAAAACTGGCAGGGCCAAAACCAGGGATACTGGCCTGACTGGCCTCTTGTTCCTCCCACTGCTCTAACCATGACCAGTGACACCCCCGAGACCATGAAAGTACTTTGTGCGCCATCAGACAAACATGAGGGACAATAGTACCTTGTCATTCCTTAAGAATGGGTTTTGAAACCTTAAAAATTCCCAATTTACAAACACTGTGGTAACATATAATTTTCACCCAACAGTGTAAGGAAAGTATACCTGCATATTTGCAGTGACCCCCTTCTGAACATTAATGGTTGCATAAATACCATAATAAAGCCAATTTTCACACTGGCTGGAACACTTACACACTTCTGCTAATTCTCCTTTTCTTATTTTTGTATAGAGCTTATGGGGAACTCATTCACATCATAGATTCAAACTACCTTCGAATTATGTACTTTACTGTTTGATGTATTGAACATTTCTTTTTCTGCTGGGTGTGGTGGTATAGGAGTCTGAGATAGGAGGACTGTGAATTTGCATCTAATCTCGGATGTATGATGAAACCTTGTCTCAAATAAATGTTTTTGGAGTCATTCATTTTCTTAGGAATTTTTTTCCTTTTCCCTCATCTCCAGTACTCTTTACCAGGTCACTTTCTGTAAGTAATTCACTGGACTTGTAAGGACAAACAGAGCAGTAAGGTCACTTCTAAATATGGGTGACAGGCAGTCTGCTAGGCTCACTCATCAGCAAAGGTGACTCATTCCCATGTATCAGCTTTGGAGCCCATGAGACAAAAATATGTGCTTCGTGGAATATCAGAAGCCTCAGAGTCTGCGTAGAGGTTGCCAAGTCTCTGACTGCTGAAAGTCCAACTCACAGTCATGTTTAGGTGTTAATTAGGACAGGGATAGAAAAGAAATGAAAGACAGGGTAATCCACCCCAAGAACAAATGGCATCACATCTAATATTGGCACTACCAAATTTCTGTTTAGCTAACAAGATCAATCTTTGGCTAATGGCCAACTTATTTCACACAATATTTGAAGACTGAAATACTCCAGTGCGCACACATACCAGATTCGCTTGGCACTCCTCCCAGAGTGCCTTATGACCTGTGCTGAAGTTGAGATTAAAGCAAGATGACAAGCCCACTGTAAGCAACCTTTCAACCTAGAGCAATAGACTGGACTGGTAAAGCCCTGTGAGTCAGAATGGCACTCTGATGGCAAAGCATGGGGAAATGTGTCATAGGAATCTTAAGACTCCTCAGGGCCCCCCCCATGAGGTAGCTAAGATCAAGACAACATGAGTGGGACAACCATGCTCCCCCCAGGGTATTACTCTCCAGTGCTTCAGCACACACTTGATGACGTGAATTTACTGATGGCCCTGGGGCAGACTCTCTCAGAAGGGAAGCTAGGCAAGAAAGGATGACCCTTTCATCCCCAATGAGTCCTGTATCTTTTCTTTCTCCCTCTACTTGTCAAGTTTAAGGAAATGCCTCTCCTCTTACAATGCTCATAGATAGGTCCAGTAGACAAACCAACCCCTGTACTGGATCAAAAACTGCATCCCACTCTCTTGCTGTATTCATAACCTTGCCATGGCTCAGAGAACCCTTAATTTGCATCAAGGTCACAAGTGGCTCTGAGACCGCCATCTCAGGCCAGCGACACTCCTAGGAACTGTCACTGCTTTGGCAGAGTCCACAGTGACGATACTGAAGGTGATCTCTGCTGCTGCAGGAATTTTAGTCACTGTGTTCTTATGCCTAGTACCTGTATATGACTATCAAATTTACCTCCTTGGTGACTGTTGTAAAATGGCTCTGTTGGGTCATAAAACTTGTTTATCTGAATTATTTTTAGTATTGAATTATGGCAGTGCTAGGCTCGAGAGCTAGCTGGATAGCTAGGATACTTTTTTTTTCCACATTATTGTTTATCTTGATGTTGGCCTTCTGATCGTATGCCCACACCCAGCAGAGGAAGTATTGTACATTTATGTGTTCCCATGTGCGTATGTGCTTGTTGAGATTTGAGAGAGGAGGGCAAGAGAATTTTTATGAATCCAGAGTCGAAATTATAGTGCAATAAATTGACTGTACCAATAATTTCCATCCATGATTATTATGATTTTTAGCTAAGCACAAAGATGGAAGCATGTATGACCGCAGTCTGATAGACTCTCTGAGATAGACAGTAGTTACCAACTGAGGAGAGAGTCCCCCATCCCCACCCCATCAAAAACCATATCCCAGTCCCTTAGCTTTGGAAATTTTGAGTGTCTCATGACTGTAAACATCTATATAGGAAGCCTCAAAAGAAAAACTTGAACCAGCAATCCCAATGTTCTGCAGCCTGGTGCTTTGTACTTGGGAAAGAGCCCTAAAGAGCCTTGCCCATCTTAATGTGCTGGCAGCACTAATTGCCATGAGGAACACAAAGGCTCGTAATGATAATATTTACTTTGAAGCTGCTCAGGATTCCAGGCTCAACTGGGCTCTGTTGAACTTGGAAAACACACCGAGGACAAGCAGGATTGAGGTTTTACTGCAGGACATGTGCAAAGGGCAGTTAGAAGTCTATGAAGGACAAGGGCTGATGTTTCCATCCCTCTATCTCTAGTAAAGGCAGTTGTTAGCCTTAAGCAGCCACAGTGGTTGGTCACTGGCTAACAAGGCACCATGGGAGAAAGCGGTCCATGGTTTGTAGCATCCACTGAGTTCTATGGTGTCACTACTTCCACCACAGCTGATTTTTAAGCAATCAATGCCACAGAACACAGGTTTGGGACGAGGTACAGGAAGCTGCATGTGCTAGCTGAAACACTAGTCTGCCAGGCCCCAGCAAGAACAGGAAAGAGAAAGGAAAAGGTCACATAGCCAGGCATGCCCTTGTCCCTCTCCATAGACTCCCATGCCCAACTGTAGTACGTGGAGTGTTTCCTTTTGGACACCTCCCTGTTGAACTCAGCAGCAATGTTTCTCGGCTTATTCCACCCTTCACAGCTGAGTGAGACTTCTCTCCATGTGAACAGGGGCTGTGACTATCTCCCCCTTTGCTGTATTTTCAGCCCCTATAATTGTATCTGCCTGTTTGTTATCAGAGGCTTTGTAACTACTTGTTGAATGACTAAATGAACCAATATGTCATGTTTGTGTGCCTCACTAGAGTGTATTGGTTCAAAGCACAGGCTACAGAAGTAGCCTGCCTTGATGAAAATGCTGACTCTGCCATTTATTAGTTTGTGACCTTGGGCTGTCATTTTCTCTACAGTGTATAGAGGAGGAAAACGGATACAGAGAGGAGGAACTTGCAAATTCACAAAGCTAGTGGGTGGTAACTTGTTTAACCTAACTAGAAATTAAGAGTAAATTGTATTATCTAGGGGCTGACTGGGTTGTAGTTCAGGGGTAGAGTTCTTTTGTTGCCTGTTTTGTTTGAGACAAGGTCTCATTTTGTAGCCCAGGCTGACCTGGAACTCACATGCATCCGCCTGTCTCTGCCTCCAGATGTCACCTTGCACAGCCAGGAGTAGAGCTTTTGTTTAAGCTGATGGACTTGAACCCTGGGCTCCATTCCCAGCACTAAAGATAAAAGCATCGTGGTGTCTACCTCATACACTTGCTCTAAGGAACAAATAAAATCTGTGGAAGGGGAGGGTGCAGCTCAGTAGTTGAGAGCTTGCCTTGCAAGTGTGAGGCCCTTTGTTCCTCTCCCAGAACTACAAGAAAAGAAAAGAAAATATGTATTGTTTCACAGCAATCCTGGCACATAAATGTGCTACTATAAGCAAATAGTATTGATGCATGCTTGAAGTCCCAGCACCTGGGAGGCTGAGGCAGGAGACTTATGAGTTCTCAAAACTAAGCCAGACCACCCCCCAAAAAAACCCCACCTGCTATTGTTATTCCAGTCTTCCCCTTTTATTGGAAAAAGGACTAGAACCCAGACTGGGGACAGGGCTGAGATTCTGTCACATGGCAACATAGTATTAGCATATGTAGGTTTTGTCTTCCTTCCTTCCTTTTTTTTGTTTTATTTTTTGAGACAAGGTTTCTCTGTGTAGTCCTGGTTGTCCTGGAACTCACTCTGTAGACCAGGCTGGGCTCAAACTCACAGAGATCCTCCTGCCTCTACCTCTGGAACGCTGGGATCAAAGGTGTGCGACACCACCGCCTGGCAAATTTAAATTATTTTAAAAAGAGATTTACGCCAGGCGATGATGACACACACCTTTAGTCCCAGCTCTCGGGAGGCAGAGGCAGGTGGATCTCTGTGAGTTCAAGACCAGCCTGGTCTACAGAGTGAGTTCCAGGACAGCCTCCAAAGCCACAGAGAAACCCTGTCTCGAAAAAGAGAGAGATTTACTTATTTTATGTGTATGTATGTCTGCCTGCATTTACATATGCGTACTGCATGTGTGCCTGGTGGCTGCAGAGGCCAGAAGACAGTTTTAGTTCTCCTGGAACTGGAGTTACAGGCAGCTGTGAGCTGCCATGTGGTTGCTAGAAACTAAACCCAAGTCCTCTGCAAGAGCAGCTAGTGTTCTTAATCACTGAGCCATCTCTGCAGGCCCCTGTTATTTTTAAAAATCATTGTTTCCAGTGCAGTGTCAACAATAAGCAAAGCGAGAGGTAGGACATGAGTTCAAAGACGTAAGAAACCCTGCTCTCCACTGTGACACTCTCTGGGAGGGCTGGGGAGAAAGGGAGGGAAATTGAGCCCTTGGGACTCATTGAGTTTCCTGCTCGAAGCCAGTTGCCAAGTTCCTACCTTCTTGCTGAGGCATGGTGGAATCTGCTGACCTGATCCCAGCTAGGCCACGTGTCATATCGCCATGCGAGTTTACTATTGGGCCCAAGGCAGCTACAGGAGGAGATGCATTGTAGTCTCAGACTGGGTCTGTACCAGCCATCCAGAGAGGGTGTCCCTCCCCCTCCACGTCCCCCGAAATGGTAACTGAGAGCAGAAGCACTCGGAGCCTCTGGAGGAGCTGGCTACATTTTCTGCCTCCTTCTAATGCCTGCCTTTATTGCAAGTCCGTAGACATGGCAAGTTCTCCTCCAGCCCTTCATTATTCAATATCTAGTTGCCACAGCCCTTGTGTTGCTGGCAGGCATCTGGGTGGTCAGTTACTGTTTCTCCCTGCTGCTTGCCCTACCCTGCCCAGCCCCTGTTTCTCCAGCTGTGCAAACAGGGTGGGTCTCTGGCTCTGTAGATCTGCTGCTGAGACCTTGTAAGTCAGGTTTTCTCTAGCACTGTCAAGGGTACAGAGGAGTCTCCAAGAAATCTTTGCCTGTGGAGTCAGTGATCCCATTCTGGAGTGCTGGGGAGACTGGAGCCCACCACTGTCTAGGAGCAGCAGGGACATCAATAATGAGCTCAAGGACAAAGAGGATGAGTTGAGGATGTACATGGAAAATCCGTTAGACATACTAAAGACTGCTTGAAATGTACCTGAAATATGGTGTCCATAGAGAAGCTGAGTTGGAGTATGGTAGCCATCCTTGCATTCCCACCTCAGAGATTCTGGCCCTGTTTATAGACGAGCTGTGCCATGTCCTTTGGTGGAATAATGGATGCTGTGTTCTGCTGCATGCCTGAATCTGTCACCTCCCATGGCAAAGACCTCCCTGCACCAGATTTTCTTGGGACCCAAATCCTTTCTTTAGGGGAGGACAAAAGCGAGCCTCTTCTTAGACAATCATTGTCCTTGATGGATATAGCAGACCCTGGCTGGAAACACAATATGTGTGAGGAACCCTTTCTGTATACCCTGGTAGTCCACCTCATTAGTCATGTCTGGCTAAGAAATAGGGCAGGGGACCTTGGGAACCCGGTTAAATTATATGTTCTTGTCTTTCTTTGTACATAGAAGGCTCTCACCATAGGTAAATTTTTATAGGTCATTATTTAGGATAAGAGGAGCTTGGGAGACGCAAAGTTACACACACTGAGAGAGGGAACATGTTTGACTCTCCATCATGAAGTTCTATGCGCTGCCTTGCCAATGTGTACTGTTGGTCTCCAAGGGGAGATGTGCCTGGCCAGGAATTACCCAGAGTAAACCTAGCCCCAACCATGAGGATAAGTCAAAGGTCACACAATCTCTTCTTGGTTGGGAAGGGGTAGGAAGAAGAGAGATGATGCTAGCAAAAAAGCAGTGTGGTCTAAGATGTTCAAAGACTGGTCCAGGGTCATTAACTTGTCTGTCTGATTATTTGTTTGTTTGAGACAGGTCTCTCTACATGATCCCTGCTGTCTTTGAACTTACTATGTAGGCCAGGCTGACCTTGGATTTAGATTCATCTGTCTGTACCTCCCAAGTGCTGGGATTAAGGGAATGTGCAAAGACCAGGCTGGTCTCAAACACATTGATCTTATCCTTCCTATCTGCCTTCATCTCCTGAGTGCTGGGATTACATATATGTGTGTGCCAACTTGCTCAGTCTCTTCAATGCTGAGGATCAAACAGGGCTTGTTGTGCTAAGCCACAGTCTACTCGCTGAGCTACATCTCCAGCTTAGGTACTCACTTTTACTCCTAGTCTTCCTGATTCACTCAGAGTGGGATGAGGAGCCAAATACAATCTGAAGTCAGGGAGATTCTAAGTGGTTTTTGTCCCTAGCCCAGCTGAGGCTTCAGAACAGCTTCTCTCCAATGTGCGATTCTGATGTCTTACTCTCCAAAGACTCCTTGGTTCTAGGCAGTGGTTTAGTACCCACGAATCCATAACCCTTCCCCCATTCAGCGCCCAAGTGTGAAATTCTAGTGGTTGGATTTATTAGAGGTGCACAGTTGATATGTAAGTTAAGCAAGCAAACACCTGGTTTGTTTGAAATTGAAAAAGAGGAATTTGTGGCTTAAGTTCATTCCTCAGTAGATTAAAAAATGGTCTCACTGAAAGGTCATCTAGGCTGGGAGAAGCCAAGGTTAGCTACAGTCTCCCCACTGGGAGACAAAGCTGTGACATCTGTGGAACTGAACACTGCTTAGGCTTGGCAGAACCTGAAGCAGGGCATGAGAGGAAGGGATATTTATTTGACAAGTGCCACTTATTTACGTGTTTTACTTCAAAATTATAGAAAAACTAAAGAAAAATGAGAACTATAAATATGCATACCACTCAGAGGTAAGCATTAATAAGAATATATTATATTTCTTTACAGTCTATTTCTAGGGATAATTATACCCCCCATCTGTACATATAACATGTATTTCTCTGCCTCTAAAAGCAGTACGTGCTCAAGATAAAGCTTCAAATAACAGAAAAAACTATGAAGGCTAAAATGGAAATCAGCCAAATTCTCTGTGATTATGAGATATCTGTTACTGGCAGAGCTGTGCTTTCCTTTTTCATGCAATTGATGCTCTTCATTGTGTGTACCTCTGCATGTTTTTTCTTTAGTGTTTTAGTATATACACTCCTCCCTTCCCACATATGTGATATACAATGTGTAATGGCTACGTAGTAACTGTGTGATATCTTTTGCTTTTCAGGGGAGACAGGTTTGGGCAAGTCCACCCTCATGGATACCCTGTTCAACACCAAGTTTGAGGGCGAGCCAGCCACCCACACACAGCCAGGTGTTCAGCTCCGATCTAATACCTATGACCTCCAGGAAAGCAACGTGGGGCTGAAGCTCACGATTGTGAGCACTGTGGGCTTTGGGGACCAGATCAACAAGGAGGACAGGTAAGGAAAGCAGTGGGGTCGGAAGGTGAATGGAGGAACCAATGAAAGGGGCTTCCCATGAGAGTCCTGGAGACAGCACAGGACCTGGGGCTCAGCCTGACTCACTAGAATGGTGCGGGTAGGCAGCTTGCAAGCATGGCACCATTTCAGGGCCCCTGTCCACAACAACTGTGCCAATCCATATACTTTGCCAAAAGAAGGGTGTCTTTCTAATACACATGACTGGAACCTTGATTCTGTTCAGCCCTGTGCCAGGCCCTCCTGTACTTTAACAATCTAAAAGGGAATGGTTTAATCTCTGCTCCTGAGCCGTTCCTGGAAAAGGCCTGTCTTAAGCAAATAATTTCCGTATAGAGAAGGATGTTCTGTGAAGGACAGAGGACAAAGAGGTAAAGGACAGATTGCAATGAGACCACAAGGACAAGGACAGTAGTTCCATGCAGGGAAGTCAGAGAGGCTTTCCCAGAAACCTCAGGATCTCAATGAAGTCAGCCGGTGGAGGGGAGGACTGTGTAGAGGGACCAACAAAGTCTACGCAGAGAGGAAGAAGGAGAGTCAGAAGAAGCCATGGGGGTTTCAGGATACATGCGAGGGGTGGATGAGGTTCTGAGATGAGGGTGTGATAAAGGCTGGGGTAGGGGAGGAGTAGCTTGTAGGGCACTCACAGAAAGGGCCACTCAAGATGCCTTTAAAAAATCTTTGCATGTAAGTGGAGGTGCATATACCACAGCATATGTTCCATGGTGCATGTGTAGAGGTCAGAGGACGACCTCTCAGTTGCTGGTTGTCACCTTCAGCCTTGTTTGGGAGGTTTTTGTTTTTCGTTTTGTTCTTTTGGGTTTTTTTGTTTGCTTGTTTGTTTGTTTTTCTATTCTGTGCATATGACAGACTAACTGGCCAGAAAGTGAATTCTATGTCGGCCTCCAGTCCCATTGTAAAGCCTCTTGGATTACATATGTGTGTTGCTTTCTCCAGTTTTATATGTGTTTTTAGATCCTTGATATTGTGGCAAGTGCTTTACTCGCTGAGCCTTCTTCCCAGCCCTTTATTTTTAAGATTGATTCTCTTTTTAAGCAAATGTGCGTGTGTATGTATGCATGTGGTATGTGCATGTGAGTGCACACACATATAAAGGCCAGAAGAGGGCACTAGATTCCCAGGAGCTGGAGTTGCAGGCTCTTGAGAGCAGCTCAATGTGGGTGGTTGGAATCAAACTTGGGTTCTTTGGAAGAGGAGGGCAAGCTCTTAACTGCTAAGCCATAGCCCTCTGGGTTTGGTAGTTTTGATTTTTGGTTTTTGTTGTTTGTAAGTAAGGTCTCACTATGTATCTTTGGCTGGCCTGGAGCTCTCTATGTAAACCAGGCTGACCTTGGATTCACAGAAATCCATCTGCCTCTGTCTACTAGAACTAAAATGTACCGGTACACCTAGCTTGCGTTTTTTTGTTTGTTTGTTGTTTTTTTTTTTTTGTTGTTTTGTTTTTTCGAGACAGGGTGGTTTCTCTGTATTGTTTTGGAGACTGTCCTGGAACTTGCTCTGTAGGACCAGACTGGCCTCAAACTCACAGAGATCCACCTGCTTTTGCCTCCTGAGTGCTGGGATCAAAGGCATGCGCCACCAATGCCTGACTTTGTTGTTGTTGTTTTGTTTTGTTTTATTTTGGTTTGTGTTTGTTTTGTTTGAGACAGGGTCTTGCTATGTATCCCTCTCTGTCCTGGAACTTTCTCTGTAGCCCAGGTTGTGCACATCTGCAGTAGCTCCTCAGCTAGGAGAGGGACCTCATGAGCCCTTCTCCTCTCTGTGCTGAAATGTTCTCAACTGCTTTGATTCTGTGCACATAACTGTAGCTGATTTGGACTTAGGAGTCCAATGGCTATGTTCTATCCAGAAGATGGCATTTCCCAGCATTTCTCTCCATACAGCTCTTAGGTTCTTCCATTTCTTCTTCTTTGAAGTCCCATTTAGGGCCAAGCACTCGCAGTCACTTTAGCACTCTGACCAGTTACGGGCCTCTGTATTAACCACTGCCCACTGCAGGAAGATCCTGCCTGAGCAAGGGGGAGAGCAGCACTGATCTATGGGCATAAACATGACTATTTAGAAGGAGGTTTGATGGCTTGACCACTTAGCAAAACCGCAGCAGTAGGTTCTCTCCATTACCCATTACTATCCCAGCCATAGGCTTTGATCAAATATACAATAATAGGCATGAATTCCCCCTTGTGGGTCAGCCTAAATCCAATCAGAAAGAAGTTAGTTGTCCTGGGACAGTTATGCCATTGCTGAAGTGGACACATCTTGCCTGGCAGATGAGTACTGAAGGCTGTAGCCATGGGTAGGATCACTAGTGTCGTTTCTTCCCCAGTGGCCTATGTCATACCTCCCAGCACTATAAAAGCTAGCCAGGAGAAGTTTTCAGGGCAGTTCCTGACTGATTTCTGTGTGTCCAGTAAAAGAATGTATTATCTTTAGCAATAAAGTCTTGATATCTAGTTATGTTAGCAGCCAAGAACATTGGCAATAGCCTCTGGGGCCTGCAAGACCAATAACTTAGAGGAAGGTCTGTCATGCCTGGCACTGAGGTTTTTTTGTCTTATAGCCCGTGTCTCCTAGGAGCAGCATTGTCCACCCGTATAACATAAAGTTCAAACACTTTAAAATGTTTTTCAGTTGTGTGTGTGTCTATGTGTGTGCACATGCATGACATGTATGTGCATGTGAGTACTGGTGCCTGCAAAGGCCAAAAGAAGGCATTGGATCCTGTGGAGCTGGAGTTATATGTGCTTGTGGACCATTAAGAGTGGGTACTGAGGACTGAACTTGTGTCCTTTATGAAAGCAGTAGGTTCTCTTAACTGCTGAGCCATCTCTCTAGCCTATGTACTATTTAAAAAACCCCGTATTTTAATTTATTTTTGTTTTATGTATATGAATGTTTTTCCTGCTTGTACATATGTGCACCGTGTTCACGTAATGTCTTTGAAGCCAGAAGAGGATGTTGGGTCCCCTGGAACTGGAATTACAGGTGATTGTGAGCTGCCACATGGAGACTGGAACCAAACTCAGGTCCTCTGCAAGAGCAGCCAGTGTTCTTAACTACTGAGCCATCTCTTCAGCCCTAAATTCTATTTGAAATTAGCTTGCAAAGTGGTAGTTTGCCATAAAGCTTTCTCATGCATTCTTAGTTTGGTTTCCCCCATGTTCTCCCCCCTTTCCCCAATCTTTCCACTGTTTCCCTGTTTCAACTGTTAGCCCTCAGTACACATGTAGTTTCTTAAGAACTAAAGCAAATTCTGTTTTCTATACAAAATTCTAAAAGGAACACATTGTTTTAAAAATACATTTACATGCTGGTTACTTGTTTATTGTGTGTGTTCATGCACATGCACACTTTGTGCTTGTACAACGGCATACATGTGGAGATCAGAGGACTGTTTTGGGGAGTCAACTCTGTGAGACCCTGAGCTCGAACTCATGTCATCAGGTTCTGTAGCCAAGTGCCTTAATCTGTTGCATCATCTCACTGGCCCCAACCACTCTTTTTTTATAGGATTGCTTATTATGCTAATCTTGTTTGTTGAGCACCACGTAGACCCTACTCCCTGTCAATTGAGTGTCACACTCAGCTGCATGTGTTTTCAGATGTAATCAATGACATTTCTCCCAGTCTTCTGAGTTGTAGACGTTCCACATGTGTCTTGATCATGAGGGTTGGGAATACTGAACACACACTGCCTCTTAGACACTAATCTACCTCTGTTTTATTTTTAGAATGTTTCTCATGATTTTACAATTGATAGCTAGGCATGGTGGCACATGCCTGTAATCATAGCACTCGGCTGACTGAGGCAGGAGGATTGAGAGTTTAGCAGTCTGGGTAACATACTGCGAACTTGTCTTTACAAAAATAACTAAACGAAGAAAATACATGAAAGATACATATCTTAAAATTCAAATAGCGCAAGCACAAATGAAAAATGATGAGGCTTCTCAGGGACTAGGATAGGGAGCAGGATGAAGTCAGCTGCAATCCTCGGGAATAAAATGCCATTCTTTCTTCAAGTGCCGGGAATTGAGCCTAGTTCCTTTTACATGCTAGACAAGCACTTTAATACTGAGCTATATCCCCAGCCATTTAAAAAATGTTCTGACTTTGAGTACAGACTGACTTTGAACTTTATCTGTAGCGCAGCCAAGCTTTACCTTTGACTCCGCCTTCCTTAGAATCCTCCCTTGGCCTCTCTAAAAGTAGACCAGTGGCATCGGGCCCTATAAAACTAGTGTTTTCTACATGGTATCAGGGGCACAGATATGTACTGGAAAGGACTTCACAACAGCCTGCACTTTCTACAGCATATGTTTAAACAAGGACCAAACAACCCAAAATGGTGGGAGTCACGTTCGGTGTTAACACCCTTCGTAGTTCCAGTACTTGGGAATCCCAGCTCTCAGGAGGTGGAGGTAGGAAAATGAAGAATTTGAGGCTGTGGTGGAGAGACCACCTCGAATGTCCATTCCTGATAATAAACTTGATGTCTATAACCATCCGGGAGCCTACATCCTGTGACTGATGGAAGCAGAGGCAAACACACAATCACTGAACTGAACCCAAGGAACCCAGTGGCAGAGAGAGAGGAGTGATGAGCAAATTGGCAAAGAATGGGCTGGCAAAACCAGCAGAGACAGCTGATCTGAACAGGGGAGAGCTCTTGGACCCCAGACCGACAGTGGGGAGCCCAGCATGGGACTGATCTGGACCCCCCAAATGTGAGTGTCAGCGAGAAGGCCTGGGCAACCTATGGGGCCCTGAGCTGTGGATCAGTGTCTATCCCTGGAATACAAACAGTCATCGTGTGCCTATAGCACAAAGAGGGATGCTCTGTCAGCCTGGACTCTTAGGGGAGTGCCTGGACCCTACCCAGAGTGAAATGACAGACTCTAGATATCCCCTATGTGAAAGGATTTGGCAATAGGGTGGGAGGGTGGGGGGAAAGGGGAGTG